ATCATCCGACTTGGTGTTTATATGTTTTTTAAGGGGGGGCTGGACAGCTGCGGAACGTTGACATCTCTCAGGTGATGCTGTATCAACTCCAGTTTGGAAGAACTAACGGACCACGATGTGTGAAGAAAAAGGATCCCCACCCAGACTCACCTACCGGCCATTTCTCACATGTTTGGACCTTCCATGGATCGCATCCCATGCACATGGCGCCTGCCACCCCGCCTGGTGCCTCACTCCCGCGCGCCGTTGGAGCACCACTCCCCCAGCGGCGGATGGAGCGCTGAGTCGCGGGTCCAGGCAGCGGGGCCTGGGGCGGGGCCTGCAACGAGTCGCGAGTGATTTCTTACACTCCCAAGACTGGAAGCCTCATGTTGGTGAGGTTCATGTGTGGTTTTACGTGGTGGCCATGCCCTCAGACTCCGGTGACCAAGTAAGGTCCCACAGTTCAGATTCCAGGGAGGGAGGGTATATCAGTGTTTTTTCAGGATGGGCGTGGGATGAGGTGGACATCTTGTACGTCTCCAAGGGACTTGCAGAAAAGGACTAATTTCACTTGGAAATGGATCAGCTAAACAGCATGGATACAGGATATGGACATATTGTCACTTTTCACTACCGTGCAGATGATACAGTGGTTAGGCTCTCGTTGTCTTCAGCAAACATTGATTTCATTCCAACTCTGTTTCCCTGAAGCTTGGCAGATGAAGATGGGGTCAAGCTGATGATTGGGATTCTCAAGGCAAGGTAAACCCATAGTCAAGAGGAGATGGAATATCAGCAGTGATAAAAAGTAGGCACAAGTTCGAGTGTTCAATCTATAATGATCACCAGGACCTTCAAAGCGACTGTCCTTGAGATCTCAGTGGCTGAGGTCACTTAGAGCCTTAAGGCCTTAAGAAGCCACTTAGAGACTCCAAAGAGGTCACGAACTGAAGGTCCATTTCTTATGGGCCAAGACCAGCTCAGCCAAGGAGGAACAACACGTTCAAAGCCCATCATGGTTTGGTGGAAGCGAAAAACATCATCCACATGTCTACAAACAAATTGAACAAGGAAAGACACGCATCATCACCATATTTCTTTGATCTTGGCACCAACTTTGCTTGTTCCTCCCTCTTTGACCCCATCCGATCAGCTGTGTTTCCACCCCGCATCTTGAACCTTCCAACAGAGGTTAAGTGACCTTATAGGACCCTACTGGGGTACCTATGGGACAGTCTATAGGGTCCTTCAACCTCTGGGGAAGCCAGGAGTTCCGAACGGAACTGGGTGCCATGCCGAACTTCGGAGGGTTTCCGGGATGCCGAAGGATCCACCCTTGTAGGGGCTAAACATTCCAGCGGAACCGCTGGAGGGGGACCAGGACCTGAGCCGTTCGTGACCTCGAACTGGAGTCTTTGTTTGTGGCCTCTCATTCTGAGATGAAAAGGTCGTTTTGAAGGTCCTGGGAAAAACGGTTGTAGAATTAACTATTACTGTTGCTTTTCCAAGGATGCTGGGTCAGTCACAACCTCCAATCATGGACCTACCAAGCCAAGGCACACCTGGCACGTTTCACGTCCGCGCCTCTGGCACTGGCAGCCACACGTGGCGCGCGTTCTCGGTGGGACAGAGCTCGGAAGCTGTGGAGATCTGCGGTGTCTTTGGCCGAGCTGGACCAAGAGGAGATCCGAAAGAAAGAAACAGCGTGGAAGAGGGATGCAAGCTGACTTGTCAGCCCAAGTCAGCGACTTTTCAGATGGATTTCAAGAACCCTTACCAGTCAGTGAATGATCTAATCTTACTGGAGTCAGGAATAAATTAAAGAAGAACCAAACAAACACTATCAATGAGCTTTTCCTGGGTCAGACCGGACCCCTTAATTTTTTGGACCCAGGACCCAGGGCGCTCGGCTTTGCGTGGCGAATGGGACACAGGGAGCGGCAGCAGCCTCTTCGACGAGCAGAGCCCCTTCAGCGGGCGAGTGCAGGCGTCTCCTTTTTTGGGGGGGGGGGGGGGGGGGCAGGGTGGCTCAGGGTGGAGGGTTTAGGGTTTAGGGCAGGGTGGAAGGGAAGCGATTTTGGCGGAAAGAAGATGTGCGAATTATAGATCTTCCGGACTGGATTCTCTTTGAATTGAGGTATACTCTTAGACCCGAATGGGCCCTTTGATTCATCGGGGTACCTGCAGATACATGTAGCAGAAGATCTCACGACAGGCAAGTGAGGACCATCGTGTCCCACATTTCACAGAAGTGACATCCACGAGACAAAAACAAATTGAGATAAAAGTTTATGATAAAAGCCTGCTTTTGATGGAAACAGGATGGGAAAGGCCCCATGCTTTAGATGGGAAAGGCACTCTCAAACAGGGGTCACTCAGCTTTTGGGTTTGAAGCACAGTCCAGTATAGATTATAGATGTGACTACAACGATCCCCTGGAAGAAGTGGACACCCTGAACCACCGTGGTGCCTCTTTTAGGGGGCGATTCAGACGCCCAACCCGGGCGGGCCCTGGTTAGAGGCCTCTGTCGGCGGCGGTTCGCTTTTTGTCACTCGGACACTGAGACCTATAGGATCGATAGGCAACCGTTTGAATTTGTACAGGAAATAATTACAAAACTTGTCATATGGAATACCAGGTATAAAAAGAAGAGTTTTCAACGAGTCGAGGTGAGCTTTCCCGCATGCACTCAGTAGGATGTCAGTATACATGTACTGGTCGACTCGTAGCTTCCATCATCTTCAAACGTGAGTTCACATCGGAGTTACACCCCCAATATTTGGGACATCAGATGAAGTTCGTGAAACAAGAAGCTCTTGAGTTGCAGCCACTCTCTATCAATTTGCTGCATGCCTGCAACTCCGCTTCTCGCTTCTGATGGCAACTCTTGTACTTCTGCAATCAAACATGTGACTTCTTTGTCTTCGCAGCCTGTGCCACAGTCGCTCCCAGACTCAAGCCAGGTCGGTGCACATCAAGCGATTCGCGGGGTGAGCCGCTTTGGAAACCAGTGCAACGTGTTTTCAGAAAAGGATCATTACAAAGGAAACCGTATCTTCTGGCCAAAGAGCTCTTCAAGTGCTGTAAACTTGAGCGGCCACCTGTCTTGCTCTGTCACCCTATCCCAGCAAGCCCAGACCACCAAGTCACTGCAAGGAACCCGAGCAAAACACAGCCGGAGAATGCAACAGGTCCACCCAAAAATCAATCTCTCGAATCGGAGGAAAGATCGTCCACCTGACCAAACCGACTGAGACGAAGTAAACCGGATGTATAAACCAACAACTGCCGCATACCAAAACGAAGTACGGGACGCAGAAAGTCCTTGAGAAACGACTGCAGATTCTGAGCCTGTGAGAAGCATTCAAATCGGAACAATCATGCCAGGAAACCATCAGGTTCTTCAAAAAAACACAAAGCCGCCAGGCAACAACGCATATATAAACTACTTATATATATATACGATATATATATACATATATAAATGTACTGTATACAGTACATGGATGGTCTGAGACATTCTGGGACAACGGCACCGTCGGCACTCTACCCGGTGGTCCAGCCAAACCGCGTAAATCACAGCGGCCCAAAGCAGCCCTATCGACACGAACCATTGAATATTTACCCATATTATCAACCACCAGGTTTGGAATATAAGTCTCAGGAGGTTCTCCTTGGAAAAATTATACATATCTTTACATCCATCGTCTCATATCGTCTCGGCTTTTGCCCACGTGACCCATTCTGCCAGGTCACCGGCTGTGGTGCATCCAGCGGGGGCAGCTGGCGGCGCTTGCGCTTTAATGGGCAGACGGAGCAGAGCGGCTGGGTGTGAAGATCCTTGGGAGCGGAGGGAACCCTACTTACGTCAGTGGATAAACCTTTATCCTCGGAAACTGAAGGAGTACAGTTGAGGGTGTGGGCTCCGTTCGTTCGGGCTCCGTTCGTACCTTTTGAGGTTCAGTGAACTCTGTGGGGAACTCTGTGGGGAACTGGCACCGGAAGGAGATGAAACGTGGTTGACCTATAGCGCTGGTGTCGGTGGTTCACTCACTCGCTCGCTATACACGGTGGACAGACCTGTCGCCCGTCCAGGTGCCATCCAGGTGCCACCTTTTGAGGTTCGGTACGACTGCGAGCCCTATACCAAGGCCCCCTGTTTGGGGTGTCTAATTATAGCTCCTTAGAGGTTAAGTCGGTTAAGTGGTATCCATTAACCACCCCTTAGGAGGCCCTGGTAGAAGAAGCTTTTTTGATGAGCTCTGAACAAACCACCTTAAGTGGTTTTTGCTGTTTTCCCTCGTGATGAAGGCAGTGGTTTGGGTGTATCGGGTTTTGAACCTTGAAATGGCTAGCTAGAGTTGGAAGTCTTGGGATTTTCTGTGGCTTTGCAATCAATCACGAAGGGAGGAGAAGAGACGCTATGAACCAAACACTAATTACATCCCTACAAAGGCAGAACAAAATCCTCATAAATCTGAACTGGTTCCCTTCAAGCCATTGGCCAAGCAGATTCTTTCTAAGAGAGTCCTGTTGTAAATCATTATATAAATCCTCAGTTTTCTTTGCGAGCAAAGGCGTGTTGCTCCTGGATGCCAATGGTATCCCGCGACATGAAGCATTGGCCTTTGGCTATTTGAGCCACGGCAGGACGGCATCGAAATTGGTCCATTTGTTGAGAAATCAAGTTCACGAGTTCTAGCAGGACCCCTGAAAGAAAGAACATAGTAACATCCATCTAAACACATGAACCAAGTCTGAGCAAACACTGCACCTGATCGAAAAGTGCTGGTTTTGCCAGAGTTCGTCGTCGGATGTGACACGGTAGCTTCGCATCCGCGAAGCTCCGCGACGCTCCGGGGGCGACATCCTCGGACGGTTCTTCGCATGGTTCTGAAAGAGACCCATCAGGGGCTCCTGTCCCATCATGTCCCATCTCCTCAGGTTCGGTGGCGGTGGCCCACCCGCAAACATCCACCCCTGGCCCACCGAACCGATTTGCCGGAGGTGGGAGAACATGGCTGTGGCACCAGGAGATGAAAAGGGGTTGACCATGGTTGACCTATTTGGTGGAAGGTCTTTTCGTAATTCGTGGTGGATTGGTCGGGCTCCAGGAGCGGGGTATACTTTTTTGACCCAGACACTCCAGATCCCTCAAACTCCAGAAACCACAGAGGGGTTCAAGTCATTTTTGAGAGGAACGGGATGGTTTTTGTTACATTACTCAACGAGTCAGTCAACCTTTCAAGCGACCTTTTTGCAGAATTGTTTTCTCTACTGAAGGTCAACAGTTTTAAAGGAGCTCACCTATCCCACATCCAATGAAACTAGAGTCTAGAGAGCTCAGTGGCTCAGCCCAAAAAGCAAAAAGCACAATTTGCTGGCGGAAGAAAGCATCCAATGACCATGCTTTTCCTGAAACACCCTTCGCCGTCCGAGGAAGTCCTTAGCAGCCATGGGCTCGGCCACGCTGCGGTCGTTGGGCGTGCAGAAACCTTGGCGTGTGCTGCTGCTGGGCGTGGGCCTGGGTGCGCTGCCCGGGTGGTTTCGGAAGGCTCAGGCGCACGAAACGGCGCGGCTGTGCACGCGCGAGAGGCGGGAATGGATGAAGAACAAAGCCCCGAAACGCCTGCGGGATCAAAGGATGAAGGAGCCAAGGTACCAAGGTGAAGCACCGATGAAGAACTCAACGGATGCTGGATTTTGAAATGGATGCCGGATTTCGAACACATGATCCTTGTGCGCAGGAGGGTTTTGACACTCAAGACCGACCACCCCGAACTATGACCGTTGAACATCCCCCCATGGTTCTTTGTGTCGACCATCTACGAGGAGTTGTGTGGCTCTTTCTTGAGAAGCCATGTAAACGAGATTGGAAGAGACATGTGTTCGATATGAAGAGATGTATTTCATTGTATTTCCCGAAAAGCCCTTCCAGAAATATACCCTGAACAGAACGACTCTTGGATCTTGGGAGCTCCAAGTTTCACCGTTCCACGTGGATAGACGTAGTATGTTCACCTCAAAAAGCATCAGAAATTCTGCCATCCACCCACACCCGCATGGGCGCGGCGCAGGCCAAGGTGACGGCCATCGATTTGGATCCCGTGGTGCTGCGTGCGGCACAGGTCGTGGGACAAATGCCCGGGGCGGTCCAGGGACTTGAAGCGTGCCTGGGGCAGAAGGTCGGTGGCGAGCGATGCGGAAGGCTATGCTGAAACACGCATGCGGTTCCGGGTTTGTGGTTCCGCTGTGCAAAGCTGGGAACTTGAGTGCCAAGTGTCTTAAGTTTTGTTTGGTGGGAAAGCATGGAATTCTCAGATTTGATTCACTTTCAAGGGATCCGAACATGTGTATTCAGTCCTTGGACCTGCTAGGAAACGGACACATGTGCAATGGTAATGTCCCATAATATTGCTTGCTTGCTCGAAGATGATTGTGCTTGGAGGAACATATTATTGGCTGTATTAAAACCTCCCAAAGACTTAACGTTCGCTTTGCGTTCAAGATACGTCGCGGAGCAACAAAAGCCATTCTGGAGCAACTATTCTCACTCCGGAGTGCTTTTTGTCACACCACTGTCCAAAAGATTGATAATTACAAAACGGAGTGATAATTATCACTCAATTCAGGGGTACCAGGTACAAAACGGAGTGATAATTATCACTCTTCAGGGGTACCAGGTATATTTCAGGTTTGTTCGGGTTTGGTTAGGCAATTCAATCGTCCAATGTGCAACCTGAACCTGCGACCCTGCAAATAGCTGATCACCTGTATGGTAGCTGGGCGGTAGTTCAACAGCAAAGCGTTTGGCCGCTGTGCATGTGTTCCACTCATCTTTGGCATGTGCTTTATGTACTTTTGTTGGCTAGATTGTTTGCTTGGCCAGATTGAAAAGGAACCAATCGTACTACATGAACAAACACCAAAAAGGTGTTCTTTCTCAGCAGCTTTTGGAAGTACCTGTTCCATGCCTTGTTATTTGGAGAGAAACATGCGCAAAGTGTCATCCCGTCGGCTGACGGGGCTCTTTCTGCTGAAAACAGGAAGATGTAGAATTTGTTCAGGTGGGGGTGCCGAAACAGGACGCTCCGAAACGGAAATCGGAGGTCTGTTGGTCTCCCCTGGGAACAAAGAAGGGTTTTCCCCTGAAACGTCAACGAAATGCTTTTTGATTGCCTCTTTTCAGGTGCCTTAAGGATGCCGAAGCTGACACTGATGCCTTGCGGGTGTATTGCTGTGATGGTGTTGAGCCACTGGGTGGCAGCCGCAACTTGCGGGTGACGAGGTTTTTCACAGTTCTTGGGGTGAAGCCCCTGGCCGGGGGAAGGGTTGTATGTTCGTTTTACCTGTGCTTGTTTGGGTGATTTGCATCTTCCCGGTTCCACAGTGGCTCTCTTTTTGGTGCTTCCGAACTTCGGAGAAAGAAGCGAAACGCAAGAAAGAGAACGCAAGCTTGCGATTTGCCTGGATCCAAGTGCTTTCTCAGTGGACGGCTTTTGGGTTTCTTCACCTCGGAGACTGTTGGATAATTTCCAAATATCCCAGACACTCCATGGGACTGCCATATTTGCCTACATTAAGGTGGTGCCAGGGGGGTCAATGTATATAGGTATATATTCCATACATGGAGTGTCTGGGTATGAAGGACATGCTCTCCAACATGAAATCGGAGAAGAAGTACTACGGCGTTGGATCATGAACAGTACCCAGGGAACGTGTTACCCGGTACCTGGAACAACCGAGAATTCAATCCCTGATAGAAAGCCTGGGGATTCTGGATTCTGGACAATTTTGCACATCAAATGTCCGCACTATATATACCTGGACCTGAAAAAGGGGTGTCCAATGGAAATCCCTAAGTAGTGTAGGGGCTTCCAGCCAGGTGGTTGGAGATCATGACTGGTGATAGGTTTTCCACCGGGTTTTGATCAAAAATTCCGAGTCCACAGTGATCTCGTGCAAGTGTCGGATTTCAATACAAAAGAGAACCTGCGAACTAAGATTAAGTATGGTTAAGGGTTGTTTTGCCCATCAAATTCCATTGCACGTTTGGGCAGCAGACAAGACAGGTTTTAAGGGCCACAACATGCCAAAGCCACAGTTTTGGACTTCCTTTCAATGATTTGGCCTCACCACAAAAAGACGGCCATATTTCCCAGAACACTTCACTTCATGAGACGTATATGTGGAGAAATCATGAGACATCGACAAACAACACGGGTTCAACACAGCAGCGACATGTCCACCGACCTGGGACCGAGGTTCGTCAAGGCTGCATCGAACGAAGTCCGCTACGACCTGCTGGTCATGGACGTCTTCGATGGACAAGGCGAGACTCCGGAGGCCTTCTTGACCGAGGACTTTGGTGTCTTGCCGCATAGGAGGGCAGTCCTCCACCGCGGAGATGTGGTGCGTTTTGGGCGGGGGGGATCAACTCGGAAGTTGGGGAAGTCGCCAAAGGGAGCGGATCGCGACGGCTTCAAGGGAGCGACTGGAGCCGGAGCTCGGGACCCACGGGAGTTTCCCAAGCAGTTCTACCACTTCAAGTAAGATAAGTAAGGAGGATTGTCAACGGATCCAAAAACGCCAGTGATTAGACCAGCCTGGGAGGGATGTTTCGTATTCTTTTATCCATGACTGTGGTTTGTGTTAGGTTATGTTAGGATACTTATTGAATCTTATTGATATAAACATTGCAGCACCTGAAACCCAAAAAAGCGCAAGCATCAACAAGCATCCGCGTTGTTTGTGTTCTTTTTGATGTTGAAGTTAGATCAGTCCCAAGCCACGCGTGGCCCAAGCTTGACCCGGAGACCGAGGTCAAGCTTGTGCTTCTGTCGCCACTTGCTGCGTGGTGAACCTTACATGCCCAGCCGCTGGGATGAGCCTTCGGCCTCGCGGTCTCGACACAGCCCGGTCAGGGTGAAAAAACCACCAGCTGATACTGTATGGGCTCGTCCCATGGTTTGGACACCCCGACTTCCTCCGTGAGTGAACAACCACCACAACAACAACAACAACAACACTATATTTGCATGGACCACACGAGGGTTTGTTGCCTTTGTTGTCTTAGCAATAGGACAGATATTATGGAGCCTTCTGGTTGTTTTCCCACAACCCCCATAGGATTAGTGTTGCTTGGATCTTTTTAGTCCCGCGGTACACCACGAGCACCACACATCCCCTGGTAGACGAGTGTTTGACGTCTGACTTAAACATGGGAAGGGTCAAAACCTGTAGCCCTGGTCCACCATGTAGCAGCTAAGGCCTTCCAGGTAGGTCAACCTCTTGGTCCATGTGATTTGTTTGTCAAGCTGGGATGACATGCGAGGTGCCTATGTGGGAGGATGCTCATCATTTCAACGCGCCATCCGCTGGGAAGCTGGCCGATGCATTCCAGCTGGGCTTTCAATCGAAGGCGCGAGGATATGTTGACTAAATCATGTAGGTATCGGTATATAAGAATGCCACTTGATTTTTGCCAATGAAAAGACACCACAATCAAACATGAAGTTGGCTTGCATGCATGTTCTCGTTTGATGCACGGAGATCCGGTGTATCCCTTTGCGCGTCCAGGCGTGGAGCGTCCGGGTGGCCGAGGGGCAAAACCTCATCCTTTGCGCCACCCGCTACGGCGCGCCGCCGGAGACCCGGTTCCGAAAGGGAGACGAAAGGGAGTGTAGCAGGGAGGGTCTTTGGATCCAGGCTGCCGCTTTTGCTTGAGTTTTCTATGTGTTTCGAATCTCTCCAACCAGCCGGGTTAGTCCGGGTTTCTATGTTCGAACACTCTAGTTCAACAGTGAGGTCCAGTGAAAAGAAGAAGAAACACAACACGGATTATGCGGCACACAGAGCGGCAAAATGCCCACCTTCCAACAGCAACTGCGCGAAAGCATTCAACTCCACATTGGAAAGAATAACGGCCTGGCGCCGCCTTTTGGAAGCGCTCTGCCAACAAACGTGTCCCACGGGGATTGGATCGCCTCCAAATTGAACCCTCTTCTGGCAAACAGAAATGCAAGTTCCATAATGTGCCACGTAACCCACTGACAAAACATTTGATGTCTTCCATGCAGTTATTTTTAGGTGTTTTGTTATGTCTTGTCATTTTGTTTTTTGAGGGTCCAGACCATCCGAATCATATGTCCTTTGGCCCCCATGTTGGCCATTCTCTGGTTCGTACGAACGAACTCCTCCGTTTGACCAGATATAGCTATAGATAGTGCTATATATATAAGGTTGAGTGAGCGGTTGAACTACGGAGGTTGATCTGAAATCCAAAATTGGACTCATTTGTTGATCATGGCAGACCGGCTGAAACGCACTCATCCAGACACATAGACAGTTCTGCAATTGATAGGTTTAAAGTTTAAAGGGAACATCAAAAAGACGCCCTAACTGTTTTGCATCCTTTGCATGATTTACATGATTCAAACAATTACATTTAAGTCATATCATGTCCATGTGGAAATGGGATGACATGTATATTAGAGTTGTGAGTTTTCGTGATATCCAAAGATTTTTGTTGGAGACATCCGCCCAGTTCACACTCCCAAACGCTCTTCGGAGAAGGTATTTATGTGGATTCATAGGGATTAAGCAGGTAATCAGGTCAACATTCAGAGGTTGACCCCCCCTTTACTATGACAAATCAAATTTATACAATATATAGGCCATAAGTCCGGATCCGTGCCAACCCTCAGCTCCAAAACCACTCCTCACCCGGAGGGAAGCACGAACCCAGCGACGCAAAACGGCTCCACCGCGGCGAGGAGCTTTACTTGGCCAACGCGGCGGAGGAGTTGGCCTCGGAGGGCCTCTTCGCCTTCGACCCGGTGCGCCGCGTGGGCTTCCGGCGCCAGGAGTGGTGAGCCAAGCGGCGGAAGAGGTCGAAAGTGAGCCGCGCGGCGAGCTTTCGGTGGCGGTTTTCGGGCCGAACGCGGAGAAGAAGGGAGCTGAACGGTTTGGGCTGGATAAGAGAAGATGGGGCTAGGTGCCTACTAGGTGGCTGATGAGGGGGTGGGAAGACTTGATTCATTGAAGGGATGTTCACTTGCTGTATTAATTGGTTACTTTAGGTTCAAGTATGTTTAAGTGTCCTTTTTTGATTTTATATCCTAATAGAGTCCTATACTGAGTTTGCATCCCTTGAGAGGTGAGTGGTTACACATCCCCAAGCATCCCATCCGGGCTCCTGGCACCCACCCTGGCCCACCATCGAAACGGAGGCAGGAACAGGAGCTTTCGGGTCTACAGAGTAAGTCGTCGTGAATGTTTTCTCTATAGCTTAGGGGGGTGTTTTCACTTCACCAGCAATTGGAATCCCAAGCAGGGGACTAGTGGAATGCCCAGAGATAACACATGTTTTTTTGTTTTTTTTTCCCTACCTATACGTCCAGTCGTACCGCTCTTGTCATCTCTTGGCTCGCTTCAGGTACCGAAACTGCACCAATTGGTGCGATAGGAGTTCCCCCCCTGCAGGACATTTTGGGGTGGGTCTCTTGACCGAAGATGCGTCAAGATGGGCACCGTGTTCAGGTAGGCAGTAGCTCGCACCATTACTTGCTCTTTGTGGGACTATGTCGAGGAGAACCAGTTAGTTGTCATGCTTTTGTTCGCGATTCTTGAGATCAGACAACTGATGACAACTGTCATGAGTCATATTGTTGGATTTTAGTGAATGAACTCTTCCTTTTTGTAGGATGAATATGTACACCTCTTTGAAAAACCACCCAGTCATGCTCCCCCAAAGCAACTCAAGACCACAGCGTCCGTGATCGTTCCCCCGCGTCGTCCTTGAGTGGAAGACGCCCGTCCGCGCGGGCGCGAGAGGGGCCGGTTGCGCGGGCGGAGCCCAATGGCATGACCGATGGCCACGAGAATCATCCGGTACACCACTTGAGGCGCCGAAAGCGAGAAACACTGAAGACTGAAGAGCTCCCAAGACCCAGATGTCGCCTGCTTTAATAGGAAGATTAGGCAGTTTGGCCATACGTTGAGTGGTTGGTGGTCTAACATTGAGGTCACTCAGGCTTTTAGGTATATTAGGGCCGGCTTGCTAAGTTGAAATTCGGGAGCAGACAAAAGGTTGAATTATGAACTACATGGCATAACCGTGTGTATTTGTTTATAGTCATACACCCATCCTGGAAACGGCACGCAAAAAAAATCGACCAACATGGTCTTCTAGGTCAGATTTGACCACCAAGGTCTCCAGTCATCTCCAGTCCGTCTATTGCTAAGAGAGCTCCTAGGGTCCAACTTTCGAAGTTCGTTGCAACGCAGCTTGTTGGTCGCAGCATCCGAATGCGGATGGGCCGTAGCATCAAGTCAGATCAGTATTTCTACTCGCCGTCACTGGCACATGATTCAGGAAGCGTATTGGAACTGTACGGTCAGAAAACGCCAGCATGTCTCCTCCAAAGATCGAACGGAGGAGTTCGTTTCGGTACGGTGGTTCACCAGATCGAGTGTCGCCGCTGCCCTCTAGACGGCCTGAGTGAAACAGCACGGTCCTGGACCCTTAGGCCGTAGACGCATCACCAGCACCGTCAGACCACCGATGACAATAGTGGACTTCGAATTCCATCCAATGAGCAGCCTCTTTCAGGGTCCAGGGTCTGGAGATGGCTGTGGGTACACCTTGCTTGTTCCCCAACATCAACAATGAAGCAACATCAAGTATACCGAGGAGGTCAAGCCAGGTCGAGTTCCGGGCTCGGATTGAGTCACCCCATCTGAGCCAACCGCAGGGTGGACAGCCTAGGGTCCAGCGCCCAAACGCAGGCGGGGAAGGGGCGGTGGGGGAAGGGAGAAGGACGAAGTGGTCCCCTGGAAAGAGCATGAAGCAGAGCAAACAGGGTCTTGTAACAACTAACTTATGGAATGGTAAGCCAACTAACCCAACTAAGCATGAGTTGAAGTGTTTCCTCCAGTTCCAACTAACTTATGGAATTGGAGTTCACCACCTGATCCACAGACCTATGGGAGGGAGGGATGAGTGCTCATTTTTCACACCGTGGTACCTTCTGGGCACGCTACTGGGCGGCCATGGCTGGTGTCTTGTTCGCCGGAGCCCAGCTCAGACGATTCGCTGGTGGCTCACCTGGTCGCATTTTCTTTTACAGCGGGTTACCTGCAAGACAGGAAGGACAGGAAGGAGGGTGAACGCACGGCCTGGTCTTTCTTTGGTTTTCTCTTCCCTCTACACGGCCTGGGATCATCATGGAAGTGAAAAACCACCAATTCGCGTAGTAGAGGAACAGGACATCACAGGGGCCATGTTCCACGAAACCAGGATGATTCCAGGGAGGACTCGGATGAGTACATCATGTACGGTATACTGTATATAATATATAGTACCCTACATAAGTACCTTGGTTTGTTTAGGGGTCGATGTATGGGTAAATACTTCATCATTCGGTGTAGATCTTTTTTTCCCAAGGTTAGCTGGTATTTTCTGCTCAGGCTCGCCGAGCTGGGTGAAGGGAATTCGCTGCTGGGTGGTTGAGGTGCCCTTCCCTTTCTTTAGACTCCCCTGTTGACCCAGATGATGATCGCCTAACCTGCATGACCTCTATTTCGGACCATCAAGGATAAGAGCATGTCTTTTCCTATCAAGACAGAGGTCATTCAGGTTCTAGCTATATGTGATTATAGACATTTATCCATACCCGAAGCCATCCACCCCCGCCCTTCACTGGTGTCCAGTCGGTTTGGCATTTGGAAAGCGGCTTGTGAAGCCTGCAAAGCTGCCGTTTTTCGAGTGGAATGCTTCCTCGATCCCGGTCTGTTCATTTCGAGTTCTCAGCTGGCTGCCATTAGGGTGCACAGGGATCTTTGCCTAACCAATGATCAAACAAGTGGCTCGAACTCACTTGTAAATACGGGTTCATGTCTATTTCCCGAACCAAAACCAGGGGGCAGTCTCGCTGACATGTGTACGAATCTCAGGAGCCCCGGAAATGTGTACCACTGTGGATGCAATGGCCCCGCTTTTGGGTGGTGCTTTGCATCATCGTGGCCATTGTCGCTTGACGGAGATGGAGAAGTGTGATACAAAACAAAAACACCTCGTGTGAGAGTGTCTTGCAATGGTTTAGGCTTTTCAATAGCTCTATAGTTACTATTGACGTTTTTGAAGAGGGGGACATTTGGACCTTCTCATGGAGGGTGATCTTGAAGAGGTTTTTGTGACACCAAACATTTGGATCTCTATGATCCAAAGACATCCCAACCCCCTTCAGTTCGCCACAAGACCTGAGAAGGTAATGTTGGATCCCTTCAAAAAGTCTCCAGGAGTGTTTTACTACGTTCTTTTCGTTTGTGTGTCATCAAGAGTCTACATCAGACCTCTCAAAAGCTCCGTTCTCCGTTCGGTGTTTGTGTTGGGGATGGGTTTCGAGGGTCCAAGTACGGGATGTGGTGATGCTTCCGAGTGAAGACACTGTTGTTTTTGTGGATTCCAACCGCCACACTGTCTTCATGGTCCAAGGTAACAGAAGCAGCAAACTCCAGGATCTGGTTGTTAATTTTGGACAATCATGTGTGGATGTTTTTTGGAGACAGAATAAGTTTACAACTCTTGCAGGTGGATTTGTTCAATGTTGTTTCAGTTGCTGAAAGGAGACCTCCAAGAATAGGTGCAAAAATATGAACATCAAGGCACCTTGTTGGAGGTTAAAAGAGATTCGGGCAAATCACTTCCATGGGATCAGATATCAAAAGAGCACAGCTTTATGAGGGAAACCGTTGTTGGAAGGAGGTCAATATGAGCTTGGAACGAGTTCGCTGACGAGTTCTGTGAGAGGCAACTGTCCAGCGCATCGCAATATGAAATATGCATCAACATGCACACTACCCTATAACAATTGACTGCTGAGCTGATTCTACGATATTCTACGCCTAAAACCTCAGTGACACCTCTTTTGGAGCTTATCAAAACGGTCATTCGATGGCCTACCGCGTTCGGGTGATTCCTTGTCCACCGGTCACCGGTCCGACCGCGCTGTTGACGGGGTGTGTTTCACCAGGTCGCGGTGAGCATCCAGAACATCCTCTCCACGGATGCCTCGAAGCGGGTCCATTTGCGGGAATCGGTCTTGGACCTCTCTAAGACTTACGCGGGTGCTGCTTGGAGTCAGCTTGGAGTTCCGGGCGGAGGGAGACTGGTGCGGCCGGCCTATCAAACGGGATGAAGGAGCCTATTGAGCCTCATGCAGACTCTTGATGATATCAAGAGGCGAGTGACAGCGAAGCTTAGTAAAGGGCCAGGACGGTAGAGTGTCTCCCATGACCAGTAACAGTTGGTACAGGATTAACTCCTTTTGAGATGACTGCCTGCAACCATCATCATGCCCAGACACTCCATGTACACTATATGGCCTATTTACCTACATTGGGGTGGTTTCAGGCGTCCATGCATCAGTGTTTGGGATGATGGTTACCAGTTACCAGTATGTTTCGGTCGACCAGTTTCCTCAACCAGTCTGCCATCCCAAGTCTGCCATCCCCAATGGTTTGTTGCGTCTCCTGCCAGTGATGAGCTTTCCATGAGACGCGGACGGTCGGTCCGGAGCTCTGCCGGACGGTCGGTCCAACGTAGTGGAGAGATCAACTGATTTGATGCAGAGGTTCCAAGTCTATACAAGTCTTGAAAGTGTCTCAAAAGGGAACCAGGATAGGAGCAAACAATGTCTATCAAAATGTCTAGGCCCGGTTGGTTTCTGCAAACTCATGCAAACAAGAAATTATTCCATGCAGTGCAAGAAGAACGCGCAGCCCCTTGTCACTTCCAACAAACACATAGCTCCGACCCAATTTGACACCATTCAGCTCCAACATGCCCAAAGCATCCCGTGTAAGCCCCAAA